TGTTGTTATGTTCTATCATGCTATGTTCTGTTCTGTCGTGTTCTGTCTACCATGCTGGTCTGTTCTGGCGTGTTATGCTCTGGGATACTCTGTGATGTTATGTCATGATCTGTCTTGTAACGGTACTGTCATGTTATGTTCCGTCATGCTATGTCATGGTTGTCATATGTGTTGGTATCTTCTAGTGTGGCACGCTGTGTTCTGTCGTGCTCGTCGCTATGCTCCGTTGTCGTGTTATGATATGTTCTGGACTCTGTGTCGTGATATGATATGTCCCGTCAAGGTGCGTTATCAAAAATTATGTTATGTCAGTGTGTGTTCTGTCGTTGTCTGTTCTGTAATGTTATGCCTGGGTATGTTTTGTGATGTTATGTTCTGCTCTATGTTGTCATGATGCTGCTATGTCATGTTGTGTACTGTTGTGTTGTGTCGTGTTTGTCGAGGGCGCGAGACGGGACTCCCAGGAACACTCAGGGACTCTCGAAGACACTCGGGGACTCTCGGGGACAATCGGGGACTCTCGGGAAAACTTGGGGTCTGGCGGCCGCGGTATGCAGTCGGGTTTGTCGAGGGCGAGGGGGCGGGATTCCCAGGGACTCTCGGGGATACTGGGGGATTCTCGGGACAACTCGGGGTCTGGCGGCTGCGGTATGCAGGGTGGGTTTGGCCGGGGTGTGTGTTCTTGAAAGCCAACAGCCTCAACCTGTCGGGTGGGGAAGTATGTCAAATATATTCGAGAACAACAAAAAAATGCCCAAAATATTGTCCCCAGGATATTATTTCGCTAATTTTGAATCTTCCTCCTGTAAAGAGACATGCCCGACTTAAGGCTAGCGGTCTCCGTACATCTCTTCCTTCTCCTCCTCCTCCTCCTCCTCCTCCTCCTCCTCCTCCTCCTCCTCCTCGTCCTCCCTTTCCTCCTCCTCCTCCTCCTCCTCCTCCTCCATCTCCTCCTCCCCCTCCACCTCCTTCTCCTCCTCTCCCCCTCCACATCATCCTCCTCCTCCTCCACCTCCTCCTCCTCCTCCTCCATCTCCTCCTCCCCCTCCACCTCCTCCTCCCCCTCCACCTCCTTCTCCTCCATCTCCTGCTCCCTCTCCACCTCTCCTCCTCCTCCTCCCCCTCCACCTCCTCCCCTCCTCCTCCCTTCTCCTCCCCCTCCCCTCCTCCCCCTCCTCCTCCTCCTCCTCCGCCTCCTCTTCCTCTGGCATCCATCGGAGTAGCAGCAGCAACGCGGGGCCCGCCGAGCCGAGAGCCCGCAGGGAGTCGCGGCCGCGCGGGGGCGCGCGCCGGGCCGTCCCTACCGGAGAGCCCAGGGGCGCCCCTGCGGCCGCGTCTCAACCTCCGTGGCTGGCGGCAACGCGTTGACATCTTCTGCCCTCCCCTCGCCCTCCTCCACCTTCAATTCCCTCCTCCTCCTCCTCCTCCTCCTCCAAGTTCCTCCTCCTCTCCTCCTCCTCCTCCTCCTCCTCTGCCTCCTCTTTCCTCCTCTTCCTCTCTTCATCCTCTTCCTCTTCCTCCATCTCCTTCTCCTCCCTCCTCCTCCTCCTCCTCCCTCCTCCTCCTCCTCCTCCTCCTCCTCCTCCTCCCTCCTCCTCCTCCTCATGCCTCGGTCTCCGACGATGTGAGTTCGGACGTTTCCGAGGCTTCCGGAGATGTCGAAGGCCTGCGGAGGTTTTCGGGGCATGGGGCGGTTTCCATCAGCTGCCTCTCGTCGCGGGCGCGCCGGGGGTGCGTGGATCCTCCCAACGGGCCGCCGGAGATCCCAGATATGACCCGAACGCCGAGAGGTCCCCAGATCTCCAACGACATTCGGCGGTGGACAAACCTCCCTTTAGTAAACCTCCCCTAAGTGAAAACGGCCTGGGACCGAAACCGACGGACCTGGACCCGCAAAAACGACGGCCGCGACGCCCCCTCGCGAACCGAAAACGGCCAATTCCTTCATCGACGTGTCAGGGTAGGAGGTCTATCCACCTCCGAGACATGGTGTCGACGTCCTGATGCTCTGCCTCGACCTCGGCCGTCGTGGCCAGCTAGTGGGCCCATGTGGCCACCCAAAGCGGATCTGGGGAGAGCGGCTGGCCACGGAGAAGGGGTCGGGACGGCAGGGGCCGCGCACTGAAACATGACAAAAAAAATCACATCGTCGGGTGTATGGGGCTGTTTCCTCCTCCTCCTCCTCCTTCTCATGAAGAGCCCGGCCGCACAGTGGGACCGTTCGGGTGCCATCAGCGGGGCATTCACGGGCCAGTCGCGGAAATGCTGTGGGCCATTCGCGGGACAAGAACAATTCGTGGGGCCTGCCAGTAGCAGCTGTGAGGGAAAACCATCCCTGATCCTCCCTGATCCTCCTCCTCCTCTGCCTCCTCCTCCTCCTCCTCCTCCTCCTCTTCCTCCTCCTCCTCCTCCTCTTCCTCCTCCTCTTCCTTCTTCTCCACCTCCTCCTCCTCCTTCTTTTCCTCCTCCTCCTCCTCCTCCTCCTCCTTCTCCTCGTTCTTCGAGCTTCCAGCTGCGGGCGCTTGTGCTGCTGCTGTTGCTGCTGCTGCTGCTGCTGCTGCTGCTGCTGCTGCTGCTGGCGGGCGCCCGCGTCCGCCCCCCCCCGTGCAGCATCTCTGCTCGGGACATGGAGCTCGGGCCGCCTGCGCCCTCGGAGCCGAGCGGGGGGTCCCCGGAGGGAGGGCCACGCGGAGAGCGACGTGCGGACGGGCAGCAGGAGGAGGGAGGGAGGGAGGGGAGGGGAAGGGGGGAGGGGGGGGGAGGGGAGGAGGAGGAGGAGGAGGAGGAGGAGGAGGAGGAGAGGAGGAGGAGGAGGAGGAGAGGAGAGGAGGAGGAGGAGGAGGAGGGGGAGGGGGGAGGAGGAGGCGGGGGGGGGAGGGGGGAGGACGGAGAAGCAGAAGGCACGCGTGCTCCCCCTCTTCCTCCTGTGCCAGCATGCTCTTAATGCTCCTCCCCCTCCTCCTCCTCCTCCTCCTCCTCCTCCTCCTCATTGTTCACCTCCTGCTCCACCCTGCGCTCCATCCCCCTGCTTCCCCACCCACTCCTTCCGTCCCTCCGCCTCCGCCTCCCCATACTCATCCGTGTTCCTCCGAATCCTTCTCCCTCTTCTTTCTCGTCTCCCTCCTACGTATCCTCATCCTCCTTCTTCCTCAATATCACTATTCCTGCCCTGTCCCCTCCCTCCTCATCCAACTCTGCCTCCTCCTAGTGTTCCTCCTCCTCCTCCTCCTCTTCCTCGTCCTGGTATGTCTCCTCCTCCTTCACATACTCCCTCACAAATCTCACTCCCCTCATCATCTACCCGTACATTCTCTCCTCCATCTCCAGTCGTGTCTTTCCTCTTACCCTCATCGCTCTTCCCCTCCCCCCCAATCCTCCTCACCCTCCTTCTCAACCTTATCATCCTCCTCCTTCTCCTCCTCATCAGGATCCTCTCTCCACCCCTCCGTCCCACCAACTTCCTCCTTGCCTCTGTCCTCCATCCCCCTCCCCCCCTCCAAGGATCTATCTCCACCTGTGGGACCGCCTTCCTGGGCGAGCAAGTGTCATGTCTGCTACGACAAGTGGGGTCTGGTCTGGCCACTGCCCCCTCCTTCAAGCGAAAAGCGAAGGTGGCGGCCACACTGGCCCCTCACACTCTGCGACCGCAGAATACCTACGCCCAGACGCACAGTGACCCGCAGACAACGGGAGCCCAGCATACTCGCCAACAACCTCGCCAGAGTTCAGTGAGAGCCCACATGTACCACGGTACAAGCTGTGGGCTCGGAAGCTCCCTCAATACACTCAAAGCACCTAGCCGCTAGCCAATGCCAGGAGGAGCAGGAAGAGGAGGAGGAGGAGGAGGACGACGAGGACGACGACGACAAGAGGGGAGGGAGGGGGCCACTGGAATCACTAGGGCTGCCAGTGACCACGGATGCAGGGGCCAACTGCGGATGAGAGACAGGGGACACCTCCTCCGCTGGAAGAGCGGGAAGAGTGCGCCAGTGCCGGGCCCTCGAGATGACGCGGCTCGTGCATGCCGCTCCTCGCCCGAGGTGCCGGCTCGCCCAGCCCGCTCCGACGGCGGCCGGGCCAGCACGACGACAGCCGCGGGAGGCGACCAGCAGGCACCGCCACGCGCTCGCAGCGACGCGCCGCGCGAGAGCGCATGTGCTCGCGTGCAGAAGCAGACGCGCCTCGAGAGAACGAACCGCGGCGTCAGGCACAGGCTCGGCCGTGGGAAGAGCCCCTCCCCTCGCCATCGCTCGGACGTCCACTTCCCGTGCCTTTTTCGGCTTCGCGCGTGTTTTTTTTTCGCTCGATGGTCCAGGATCGTCCTCGATGGTCCTCGCCGAGAAAAACGTCCGAGCGATGCCAGGCTCCCAGGGCGGCTGGAGGCAACAGCTCAGGGCGCTCACCGCTCGCCCGCACGCCTGGATCACGGGCGCCACCCGAGGCGGCAGGCCCTCCCAGCCAGACCCCGAGCATTTCTCGTGGGCGAGGCCCTGCTGGGTGCAGCCCCAGTGGCTCCCGTGGCAGTCCAGGCCAGTCTTGAAACCCCAACGGCCGACGCCGACGCCGCATCCTCCGGCGTCGTGGTGACTTCAAAAGGTTGGCCCCCTTGGCTCATGACCCCTGTCCCCGGGACCTCCCGTTTTCGAGGGGCACTCTTGTGATGGTGCCGAGGGCTGCGACGCGCCCTGTGTGCAGAAAGCAGAACAAAACCGCTGCAAGACAAACCTAATCTTTGAAGCTCGGCAACAGAGATCCGAGCACGCACCTGCCAAACTTTTCCGTGCAGCCCCGCGGCCGCAGCAGCGGTGGCGGCGAGGACGACGGCTCTGGCGGCGGTGGCTGCAAGGGCAACGGCCGGGCAGGCGCGGCGGCGGGGACGGCGACGACGACAACGGCAGGGCTGCGGCGGCGGGCGGCGAGGGAAGCAGCGGCGGCGACGTCGCCCACTGCGTGCGCAGCGCGCGCCTGGGGCCCGCAGCCACTTGGCGCTGCCGCGCGCCCTACGGGGACGGCGCGCTGGGGGAGTCGAGGAACCGCCGGTAGCAGTGGCGGGCGCCAGCGGCCGCCAGGCGGCCCGGGGGGCTCCTGGGACGGGCCCGAGGCTCGGGGGTGGACGATTGCGAGCGGCGAACAGAGCCGTATCCGAGCCCTGGCGGTCTGGACTCCGGGGTGCGATCCGGCGGATCCGCGGTCGCACGGATACGTCCCATCTCGGGGCATCCGCGACAACAACGCCTTGCAACCGCGGGGTCACGGATCAGGGGCCCAGCACGCGAGGGCGCGGAATCAGATCCGCCACTGTGCCTCTGGGCACGGAGTGGGCGTGTCTTCAGGTCCTTCGCCTAATCCCCTGAGCCTCAAGCCTCACTCCTCAGGAGGTTCCTAGGGGCCCCAAGCCCACGTTCTGAAATCTTGGCGCATCTTCTCGGGTTAGCTTTCCAGGCCCAATGGAGCCCAAATGCGGGCCAAGAGGGCCCCAAGAGGCCCTCAGGACGGCCCACGAGGGCCCCGAGACGCCCAAAGATAGCACACAGACGCTTAAGACGGCCTCAAGACGGCCCAAGAGGTCTCCAAGACGCCCCAAGAGGCCTCCAAGAGCACTCCTAAGAGGGCCCCAAGTGGCAAATCGCCTTGCTGGCTGCCCGACGCTCCAAGACTGACCAAGAGGCCCCCAAGAGCGCCACAAGACGGCCCCAGAGGCCTCCAAGGGGGCCCCCAAACAGCCCAACGCACAATCCAGGCACGGTGGCGGGATGGGGCGAAGGCCATTCGATCCGCCGCCACCTGTTGGCTTGCCACAGAGGTGCCCGGCGTGATAGGTTTTGGTTCCTTTACAAAAGAACTTCCCCTGGGGCTTCGGCCGATCCCGCCAGGGTCCCCGAAAGGCCGGGAAACCACGTCAACGACCGCAACAAATTCTCCAAGACGGCTCAAGATGGCCTGTAAGATGGTCACGTTGGCCCAAGATGGCCTCCAAGTCGCCAAAGTTGGTCCAAAATGTTTTCCAAGACGGCCCGAGAGAGAGTTCAAGATGCCTTCAAGTTCGTCCAAGAAGCCTCCAAGACGGCCCAAGATGGCTCCAAGATGGCCTCAGACTGGCCAAGAGTCCCCCAAGAGGCCTCCAAGACGTCCTCCAGGAAGGCCCGAAGAGGCCAAAATCATTGATTTTCCGTCTGTTTTTGAACGATTTTTGCATTTTCTTCTTATCAGCTCTCCGACGGCCCAAGACGGACCAAGAGGCCCCCAACATCGCCCGAAGAGCGCCCAAGAGGCCCCCAAGATGGCCCTATGACAGCCCCAGAGGTCCCCAAGAGGGCCCCAACAAGACCCCAAGACAGCCCAAGAGGCCCCCAAGACGCCCAAGATGGCCTCCAAGACGGCCAAGATGGCCTCCAAGATGCCTCCAAGACGGCCAAACAGGAATGCCTCCAAGACGGCGAAGATGGCCCCAAGATGCACCCAAAACGGCCCTTAATGGCCTGAAGATGGCATTCGACTGCCCAGACGGCCCGCCAGGGGCCTCCAAGACGGCCCTAGAGCCCTCCAAGACGCTCTCCAGGAGGCCCGAAAGCTCGGAAACCACCGGGTCCGATAGCTCGCCCGACTCCGCGTTCCCCGAAGGCCTTCGAAACCCACGCGGGGAACGCGTGGTCCGATAGCTTGACCAAGCTCGAACCCGACTGTCGGCCACGCAGGCGCTTCCACAAGGGCAGGGGGCGGCGGTGATTCGCCGCAGGCGCCTTGGATCTGCTTTTGGCCCGCGGAGCGAGACGGGGAGGCCAGCACCACGAAGCCAGAGAGCTCTGGAGCTGCGCCTGCCCATTTCGCTCCCGCACCTAATGCGGGATGACGATTCATAAAAAATTGGAGAGAACGATTAACAAAATAGTTGTCTGTGATTTTTGCCTGATTTTCTGACTGGAGGAGAACGAGTTTAAAAATAGTGTTCCAGCCCGCGGCCGGTTTTTTCTAATCGTCATCCCGGGCGCCGCCGCGTGAACACGACCCCCGGTCATTTATTAATCATCATCCTCCATTAAGACGAAGCCAGGACGAGAATAACATCGGGCGAGTATCAATGGAGAATCTCTGGAATGCGGCGGTTCTGGAGGGTGTCTCGGGCGCCGCGGCCTTCTCAGAGCGTTCCGGAACGCTCTGAGACCGTTCGGGAACGCTCTGGAACGGATGCATCCCAGTCCTAGCCCCGTCCGGGCGTCCGAAAAAGTAGCTCGCTGGTGACCTTGGGACTTGCCTCTGGGTGCGCTCCGCCTCCTCCGTCGTCGTCGTGGTCCCTCGGTGGGGAGGGGGGGGGGGGGGCGGAAGGAACCCACGTGGGCTCAAATTCTGAAGCCGCTCCTGGTCCGCAAAGGCGGGAGGCGCCGTGGCGCCATGGTGCAAGGCGAAGAAAGGGTGGGGCGGGCAGGCAAAGCAGTCCCTCCGTTGACCCCAAGGGGGAGGAAGAGGAGGAGGAGGAGGAGGAGGAGGAGGAGGAGAAGGAGGAGGAGGAGGAGGAAAGGAGGAGTAGGAAGGGAGGAGGAGGAGGAGGAAGGAAGGAAGGAAGGAGGAGGAGGAGGAGGAGGAGGAGGAGGAGGAGGAATTAAGGGGGGGGTGCGCGGGGAGTCCAGCTGAGAGCCGCAGTTGTGGATCTGCGTTCGTTACCCTGCCCAGCGCTGGAGGGTAGCGGCAAAGTTCCAGGGCTCGAGCCCTGGCGGCGGGAGCAAGACGCCGCCGAGGCTCGGACCTGTCACTCTTTCGGCGCGTGTCGCCGCACCGCTTGGTCTCGACGCGCCCAATGGGGCGACGCCGACACCACGGCAAGCCCACGGCAAGCCCTGCGCCCCGCGTCCCAAGCAGACGAAACCAGCACCATGGCAAACCCCACGACGAGCACCGCGCGCCCGACGCGGGGTTTGCCCTGGTGCACGCGGCGCCTTCCCCGAGACGCAATGCCGCGCGTCGGGAGAAACGGAGCGGCGACAGGTGCGGCTCTGGAGGATGCCATGGGCGCCGCGGCCTTCCCAGAACCTTCTGGAACACTGTGAGAGCGTTCCTGAATGCTCTGGAACGACTTGATCCTCCCCCTAGGCCCGTCCGATCATGGAAGTCGGCGCTTCTCGGGCGCCTCGAGGCGCCAGATTCGGCCGCGCACCGATGAACATCTCCGCACCCTGGCGTTGCCCTGGCGGGGGCCACGGTGCGAGCTGTCCAGCGATCGATGTCTCAACGCCGGCGGACATACGTGGTAAAACGCACCCACCATTCACAAGGATGACGAGCAGGCCAATCTCAGACGCAGATTATTTAGGCGCACGTAGAACCCCGCAATTGAGGATAAGAGTCAGGGGGCGGGCGCGGGCGACGCGGGCGTCGAGCCGACGGACCTCGTGGCCCTCACCTTCCCTGTCGATGGCGCCCTCCTCCTCCTCCTCCTCCTCGTTTTCCTCGTCCGCGTCCTCGTCCTCATCGTCGTCGTCGTGCTCTGACAGTTCAGCGCGGGCGGGATCGCTGATGGGCCACCCGGAACGAATGCAAAAACAGCCCGCCGCAGGCGCCGAATTTTTGGCTTGTTCAGTGAACGTAGTTTGGGTCGCGGGTGGGTCGCGGGTGGGTCGCGGGCTCCCCACCTCCACCCGGAATCAATTCAAAAACAGCCCGCCGCAGGCGCCGAACATTTTGACTTGTACACTGAACGCGGTTTGGGTCGCGGGTGGGTCGCAGGTTCTCCACCTGGATCGAACGCAAAAGAAGCCCGCCGCAGCCACAGCCAATTCACACTGCATCTGATAATCGGTTCTCGCAATTTCGATGCTCCCTCAATCCCATCCGTATCTCATCGATGTCCGCAGCCCTCGTTCTTACCCTCCTCCTCCTCCTCCTCCTCCTCCTCCTCCTTCCATCGCCATCACCATCATCCTTACCATCATCTTCATCATAATCATCCTCATCATCACCATCATCATCACCATCAGCATCATCATTATCATCATCATGATCACAGCCATCACCATCACCATCATCATCGTCATCATCATCATCAGCATTATCATCATTAGCATTACCATCATCAGAATCACCACCATCACCATCATCATCACCATCATCGTCATCATCATCCTAATCACGATCATCATCATCATCATAATCAGCATCACCATCATCAAAACAATCATCATCATCATCACCACCATCATCATCATCATCAACAGCATCATCATCAGCATCATCTTCATCAGCATCAGCACCATCATCAGTATCAGCATCAGCATCACCATCATCATCATCATCATCATCATCATCCTTACCATCATCATCATCATCATCATCAGCAGCATCAGCATCATCATCATAATCACCACCACCATCATCATCAGCATCATCATCACCATCATCATCATCATCATCAGTGCATCAGCATCATCATCATCACCACCACCATCATCATCATCATCAACATCAGCATCATCATCATTACCACCACCACCACCACCACCACCATCATCATCATCATCATCATCATCATCATCATCATCATCATCATCATCATCATCATCATCATCACCATCACCATCATCACCATGCCCACAGGAGGCCGCTGGAACCGCTCCCCAGTCAGCACGGGGGGGGAGGCCGTGCTCGCTTGCCTCCCTCGCCTCCGGCGGCCCCCCATCTCTCCGGCGGCTCCTCCCCTCTGCACGCGGCCATGCCCTCCCCTTCCCCCCCCCCTTCCTTCTCCCCTTCCCTCCCCCTCCCCTCTCCCCCCCTGTCCCCTCCCCTGCCCGCTCCCCTGCTCCCCTTCCCTCCCCTCCCCTTCCCTTCCCTCCCCTGCCCTTCCCTCCCCTCCCCTCCCACCGCCCCTCCCCCCTCCCTTGCCCCCCTTACCCTCACTCTCCCTCCCCCCCTCCCCTCCCCCCTCCTTCCCCGCCTTGTCTCCCCCCCTCGCCTCCCCTCCCCTCCCATTCCCCTTTCCCGCCTCCCTCACCTTCCCCCCCCCCCCTTCTCCTCCGCTCCCCTTCCCTCTCTGCCGCCTTCCCCTGCTGCCCCCCCCCCCCTTTGATCGGGCCCCAGCTCCCTGGTCTGTCTCGGGACTCGGTCTCGACGACTTGGCCAGGACGACTTGGCCATCGCCGACGGCCCGCCCTCTCTCGACGCGGCTGCCTCCGGGGCCCTGGGCACCCGGACTAGCATGCGATCCCCCTCCACTTCGGCCTCGAGGGCTCCCAGGAGGAGACCCCAGGCCCGCCCCTATCCCCCCTATCCGCCTCCCCGCCGCCTCTCCGTCCCCTCCTCCTCCTTCTCCGCCTCCGCCTCCGCCTCCTCCGCCTCCTCCTCCTCCGCCTCCACCTCCCGCCTCCCTCCTCCTCCTCCTCCTCTCCTCCTCCTCTCCTCCTCCTCCTCCTCCTCCTCCTCCTCCTCCTCCTCCTCCTCCTCCTCCTCCTCCTCCTCCTCCTCCTCCTCCTCCCCTCCCCGCTGCTGCCTGCTCTCGCTCCCTGCCGCCCGTGGCCCGCGACGAGAGGCCTCCGGGAGGCCCTCCCCTCCCCCCCCCCGCGGACGGAGCCGAGTCGGGGAGGGCCGCTGCTGCCTCGACGGGCCCTGCTCCGAGTCGGCCCCGCCGCCGCCGAGGATCCCCCCCACCCCGTCGATGCCGCGCCCCCCTCGCGTGCCCGCTCCTGTCGCCGGCAGAGGACGGCGACGAGACGTCGCGGCAGTGGAGCGGACCCTGGGGGCTGATTGCCTCGCGGGGAGGGAATGGGGGGGAGAGGGTGAAGTGTGAGGAGAGGGGAGATTCGGTGCTAGTCTCTGCCACTGCATCCCCTGCATGCCGAAAGGAGCTGCAACATCGAATGGCCAACTGCTGGGCCCTGTGGCCGTGAGGTGCAACACGGCCTCACGGAGTTTCACCTCCGAGGTTGTTTTTTCGATCCCGGGCACCCCCCCACCAGAAAGACACAGCGAAGCGCTCGTCGGGGGAGGAACAGTGCACGGGAGGATGACAATTATGCAGGTGTTGGTGACGATGGTGATGGCTGCGGTGACGTCGAAAGCAGCACACACACACACATACAGTACCCGATCAGGTCGCGCGCCCGACAGCTGATGGCCGTGTGCACCGTCGATACCTGGGCGGTGCCCGCGGCGCAGTAAGAGCGAGTTGCGCACGTGGTGGGAGCCTGAGCCGACCGAACTGGACGGGGGGCATGAGGCAGGCGAGCCCAGAATCGAATCGATAGGTCGGATCGACGGTCGAAATGAATCGGATCGGCGGAAATCGGCAGCCGAGTCGGAAGAAGAAGAATCAGCAGACATCGACAGACTTGTAGGCCTAACATGAGACATCGGAATCCGGATCGGCATCTGCAGCCGCATCGCACCGGAATCGGAAGCCATCGCGAGGTCGAACCGAATCGAGCTGGAGGGGTCGAAACGAGCCCTGCACGAGGTGCCACAGGTTGGCCAGGGCGTAAGGAGGAAGAGGAAAAAGAGGAGGAGGAGGAGGAGGAGGAGGAGGAGGAGCAGGAGGAGGAGCAGGAGGACGAGGAGGAGGAGGAGGAGGAGAAGGAGGGCGTTCCCCAGGCGGTAAGGCGCAAGCGAGCCGCAGAGGGCTGGGCTCCAGGCCGGGCGACCGTGCCCCCACCTCTTGCGGGGGTGATCGCGTTGGGCCGCCGGGCGCAGGTCAGGAACGGCGGTGGGGCGAGGCACGGCAGGGACCTGCCGAGGAAGGAGGGAAGACCCGACGCTCAGGCCTGGAAGGAGAAGGGATGGGCCTGTTTTCCACCACCACCACCACAAGTTGGAGGGGGAGGGGGTCCTCCCCCTCCTCCCCCTCCTCCTCCTCCTCGTCCTCCTCCTCCTCCTTTTCGTCCTCCTCCTCCTCCACATCCTTCCCCCAATTTATGGTGGTGGTGGTGGTGGTGGTGTTGGTGGTGGTGGTGGTGGTGTTGGAAAACAGGCCCATCAAGAAACGCTTTTTTTCGTCGGCGGCGAGGTAGAGCTGGCTGCACCAGCGCCAGAGCTAAACAAGGGGCACCGAGGAGCGCATTGGCCAGCGTGCAGGAGCGGGGAGGCTAGAAGGAGAAGCACAGCATCAACACGACACGATCGGAGCCCTGCGCGGATGTCTCATCTGCGCTGCCCCCCCCCCCCCTCGCCCCAGCGCGCGGAGCGCGCCAGAGGCGGTGCAGGAGGCGCCGCTAGAGGGGCCCCTGTGGCGCCTCTCCGAGACATCCGCGCGGGGCTCCGACACTTTGCGGCTCTTCACCTGTTGGTTGTTCGGGAAACGCCGTGCGCCGGATCCACACTGATGGCAGCATGCCGCCCCAGTGCGCACGCTCGCCGCCTTCTAGGCTGCCGAAGGCCTCCGTCGGCAGGCGGCGTCTGGCCGCGCGTGCGGGCGCTGCCGCGGCCGGGGCCGATGGCGGCTGCAGGGCGAGCCACCCTCGTGGCCACGAAGCGGCGACTGTACCCTGAGATCCGGGCGCTGCATTTGTTCGCGCAGTGGGCGCGTTCGCCCGGCCTGGGCCCCGAGACCATCACAGATCGGGCCGGCGCAGAAAAACGACCGCAGAAAAGGTAAGATCTAGGGCTCCATGCGTGATTTCCCATCACTTCGCGACGTCGGACGTCAGGGTCGCGACGTCGCGACGTCGGATCTCAGGGTAGACGGCCAGAGTAGTCAGGCGGTGCGGTGGGTGGGCGACGCTGCGCTGGACGACCTGCATGGTCGCGGCCGAGGAAGTCAGTAGTCCTCGGGGATGTTGGCGAACATGCCCCTCACGAACTCGTTTCGGGCTTGGCGGGGAAAGCATTATTGCCGATCTTGTCGCGGCTGCAGGCCGCGTGGCGCCAGCTGAAGCAGACGATGCCTGCCTTCAGGGAGAGTGGCCCTGGCCACGAGCTCAATGCAAACCAAGATGGGACCACCGTTGAGAGGCACGCAAGGCAACCACTGGACAGCCCTGTCGGCCATGGCGACGGCGATGCGTGGCCGTTTCCGGAAACCCTGAAACCAAAAACGTGTTCACCTCTTGGGGGCCGTCGGTAAGGATATTTCGGTGACAGTTTTAAGCCAGCAGGTGAGGATATTTCGGTGGCAGTTTTGAGCCAGCGGGGGAGGGGGGATATTTCGGTGGCAATTTTAAGGCAGCGGGTGAGGAGATTTCGGTGGCAGTCTTAAACCAACGTGTGAGGATATTTCGGTGCCAGTTTTAAGCCAGCAGGTGAGGATATTCCGGTGCCAGTATTTAGCCAGCGGGTGAAGATATTTCGGTGGCAGTTTTAAGCCAGAGGGTGAGGATATAGCGGTGGCAGTTTTAAGCCAGCAGGTGAGGATATTTCGGTGGCAGTTTTCAGCCAGCGGGGGTGAGGATATTTCGGTGGCAGTTTTGAGCCAGCGGGTTAGGAGATTTCGGTGGCAGTCTTAAGCCAGCGGGTGGGGATATTTCGGTGGTAGTTTTAGGCCAGCGGGTGAGGATATTTCGGTGGCAGTTTTAAGTTAGCGGGTGAGGAATTGTCGGTGGAAGTTTTAAGCCCGACGTGGCAGTTTTAGGCCAGGTGGCAGTTTTAGGCCAGCGGGTGCATTTCGGTGGCAGTTTTAAGCCAGCGCGTGAGGATATTTCGGTGCCAGTTTTAAGCCAGCAGGTGAGGATTTTGTCGGTGGCAGTTTTAAGCCAGCGGGTGAGGATGTGTCGGTGGCAGTCTTAAGCCAGGATATTTCGGTGCCAGTTGTAAACCAGCGGATGAGGATATGTCGGTGGCAGTTTTGAGCCAGCGGGTGAGGATATTTCGGTGGCAGTTCTAAGCCAGCGGGTTAGGAGATTTCGGTGGCAGTCTTAAGCCAGCGGGTGAGGATATAGCGGTGGCAGTTTTAAGCCAGCGGGTGAGGATATGTTGGTGGCAGTTTTATTTCCGAGGGTGAGGATATTTCGGTGGCAGTTTTAAGCTCGTGGGTGAGGATCGTTCTGTGGCAGTGTTAAGCCTGCTGGTGAGGATATGTCGGTGGCAGTTCTAAGCCAGCGGGTGAGGATATTTCGGTGGCAATTTTAAGCGAGCGTGTTAGGATATTTCCGTGCCAGCTTCAAGCCAGCGGGTGAGGATATTTCGCTGGCAGTTTTAAGCCAGAGGGTGAGGATATAACGGTGGCAGTTTTAAGCTAGCGGGGGAGGAGAAGGAGGATGCAGGAACCGAGAAGAGCTGTGCTCGGCGCGGGCATCCAGCCGCCTCGCGATGCGTCATTCGCTTGGTTGGCCCAGCCGACGGCTATGCATCCAGCGCGGTGCTGCGCCCGTATGCATTCTCGCCCCTTGGCGCGGGGCTGGCGGGGGGCCAAGGGGCGAGCTGTCCGGTGTTTTTTCCAATACGCGGTCCCTGGAAGTCTTGACCCACTCCCCAGGACCGCTTCTTCATCCTGAGTCGTTTCCCGACGGTCCCGAGGCCCGGCGAGGGCCCCCAGGGGCCCAAATCACAGAAAAACCTCCGCGTCCCGATTCTTCATTACTCTGGATCTCTGGGGGCGGGGGGGGCGGGGGGAACCCTCCCCTCCCACGCTGGCCTCCCAGCCCGTCGCCGCCCGGACCGTCGCCGGCGCGCCCGCGGCCGCGGCCGCGAACGGACTGCCAAGGGCGCCGTCGCCAGCCCCGGGCGCGCCCGCCGGCGCGCCTCCCCGGGGTGGAGCGGGCGGCCCAGCCATCGCCGCCGCCGCCGCGACTTTTTGGCGACGGCGCCGTCGACGACGACGCGCCTCCCTGGGGCGACCGGCCGACGACGGACGACCAGCGACGACACGCCACGACCACGACGACGAGAGCGAGCACCAGCACGACCACGACCGGCCGCCGACCTCTGAGCCGCCGCGCGGGGGGGCGGTCAGTGGGTGCGGGCTCAGGGAAGCCAGCCGCGACACATCGCCGGTGTGAGCGGCGATGGGCCCGAGGCCGCACTCGTCCAGCGCGGTGTGGAGCCCTCGAGCCCCGAGGTGCTCCGAGCGCGTCCTTGCGGCAACGGTCTCCGCTTGCTGGTGCGGGCCCCCGTGCGCTCAAGAAGCACCGATCGCCGAGAAGGGTTGGCCCAGCCAGGCAGCCTGGCGACCTCCGGATGAGGACGACGAGGAGGGAGAACTCCTCGATACGCACCCTGAGATCCTTCGGTTCAGCGATCTGGCCCCTGAGAATCTCCATGGCGACTGGGGAGGCGAGGATTACTGAACTGATGGATGTTGGTATGCCAGGCCACCGAAATCCATCAGTTCAGTAATCCTCGCCTCCCCAGTCGCCACGGAGACACTCAGGGGCTGGATCGCTGAACTGAAGGATCTCAGGGTGCGTACTCGAGTTTCGCTGATGTATCCGCAGGCATGTTCGCGAGGTGAAACAAAAAAAAACGACAGGAGGTCTCTCCCCGTTTGCGGCCCTCGCGGGCTCTCGCCGGGCCCTGGGACCGTCAAAGCACGGCTCGCGGGAGGAAACGCTGGCATCAATGAGGGGAATGGTTGGGACTTCTGGGGGGGCCTTGTTGCATTTTCCTGGCGAAGCACCAACAAATGTACAGCTGCGAAGACAATAGGGAACCGACCACAAGCTACCTTCCACAAGAAACCCAACCCTGAGACCCCAGGACGTCCATTGATTTTCGGTGTGGGAAGGTCACGCTTTCCTCAGCAAAACCATCAAGAAACCCAGGGCACCCTGGAGGCAAGCAGGGTGTTTCTAGGCATGGGTTTCCACTGTAAGGGTCCCAAAACGGTGCGGTGGCCAAGACGTCCTCGGAGAGCGGCCCGAGTCCCGAAACCGTGTGGTCACCCCGAATCCCCACAGACTTACCATTCGGTGTGGTCACCGAGACGTCTGGGGAGTTCCGAAACAGACCCCTTCACGAAGACGACCTGCAAGGCGGGGAGTATACCCAAACATGCGACCTCTTGTTTTTTCAATGCGGGATCTCTGGAAAACCCGACCCTTTCCCCAGGGTGGTGTTTCACCGTTCCATGGCCCAGCGAGGGCCATCGGAAATCGAAACCGGATAAAAACCTTCCTTCTCGACAGAAACTGCCAATTTTTCCTGCTCCCTGCCTGCTGTCTCCAACAAGCCCCTATGCTGCCTGCCCGCCCGCCCCGCCAGCCCTGGCCTCCCGCCTGGACGTTCGTCGTCGTCTGCCTGCTTCTCCCCTCCTCGTTCCCTTCCGCTGGGCAGCACAGCCTGCCTGGGACCAGCATGGCGGCATGTAGGGCTTCGGCCGTATCTTTTTGAATGGCAGCTACCAGTCGGTTCCATGTGAGCTCGGATCCAGCGGGGAAGACTCACAGAGCAAGGTGGACCGTCCCAAAAACACGACCTGAGCCCTAGAACCACTCTTTCTGCAGCATGTTCCGAGTTGCCTCGAGATGCGATGGTCCCTGGGCCCGAAGCAGGGCGGCACCGCTCAATATTGGAATCAGTTTCAACGCCCGGGACGCCTCTAAGGGTCGTCTCTCTCTCTCTCTCGAGCGCCCTCTGGGCTCGCTGCACGAGGGGACCCCTCCCGGCGCGCGCCTCCCGAGTCGATCGTCAGCGGCTGCGGCCGCGTGGCGTGCGGGCGGTGGGGCAGCGACCCGCGCGGCGAGCGCGAGAAGGCCTGGCCGGGCCGGTCTTTCTTTCCATGCCACCGCCGCGGGAAAGCCCAGCGGCACAGGCTAGGGAACTCGGCTGCACGCCACGAGTGGCCCGAGGCAAGAGCGACCTTTCGAGCGCGGACTGAGGGGGCGCAGGGTGGCCAAATCCAGGCGCGCAGGCAGCCACTGCAGTCGGACCCGTGGCAGAACAAGAACATGAGCATGAGACCCTCCGTCGGCCAAGGCAGACATCACATCAAAGGATACCCTCCCCAGGGTGCAAAGTAATGTCCAGCAAGACACGAAGAACACCAGGGTACCCTCCCCGACCTCGACCTGATACCTCGGCCCGACTGCATCGCATCTTTCTCAGCGATCGGGGGGACCCCGATGAGCCCACACCAAAGGTCACTCCGGCGAAGGGTCACGCCTAGAACGGCCGACGGATGCGACAGGGAAAGACACGAGGGAGAGGGGCGGGGGGAAGGTCGGAGAGCGCCGACTATGCGCCTACACCGATCCTGGCTGGGCCCATGGTGGGCCCAAGATCGGTGTATATGCCTTCCTCGCTAGGCCAGAAGGGGTGTCTACACCGACCCTGGGCCAGGGGTGGCCCTGGTCAGGGGCGGTGTAGGTCTATAGCTGACGCCCTCCGAGAAGGGGCCCGCGCGGTGGACGCGAGAAGGCCTGGCGTGGCCACCCCTCCTGTGCCTTCCTCGCGGGGGAAGGGGCCCGGCGGCAGAGGCGGCCAAGAGATCCGGCCGCTCCCGCTTGCGGTGGCGCCGTGCTGAGACGCAGATGTCAATTTGGTCACTTTGGGACAAAAAAAAGAAGCTCCCATGGGCCCAAATCTGTCGCCGACCTTTTTGGCCCCAGCCCTCCGGGGCCCTTCCGGAGAGCTCCACATAGCCCAAGATGGCCTCCAAGACGATCCAAGACAGGCACAATACGACCCAAGATGGCCCGCAAAGCGGTCCAAGACGGCCCAAGAGAGCTCCAGGACGGCTCAAGATGGCTCCAAGATGCTCCATGACAGCCAAGATGGCTTCAAGATGGTTCCAAGATGGCCTCAGATGGCCCGAAACGCCTCCCAAATGGCCCAACAGAAGCCCAAGAAGGTGAGCCAAGAAACAAAAACCATTGTTCTTACTTAGGTTATTCAACGTGTTCGGCTCTCCTGCCTTTTCGCTCAACGACGGCCTGGCGACGGCCCAAGAGGGCTCCAAGACGGCCCAAGAAGGCCCCAAGACGGCCCAAGAGCGCCCCAAGACGGCCCCCAGAGGGCTCATGATGGCTCCAAGACGCCTCCAAGAGAGCGCCAAGACAGGTCCAAGACGGCTCAATTCGGCGCAAGACGCCCCTAAGACGGCCCAAGATGGCCCCAAGACTGCCCAAGAGCGCCCCAAGACCCTCCAAAGCTGGTCCTACACACCCGAAGAGGAGTCAAGGAGGTGTCGGAGATCCCCAGGAGAGGCCAAGATGGCTCCGAGATTGCCCCAAGACGCTCCATCATGGCCCGGAGAAGCAGAAAAAAAGCCCCCAAAGGCGCCGACAAGGCTTCTAGATGGCTCCAACGGGACCCCAACAAGAGCGTTGCGTATGTCCAGGCATTCCGCCATTCCATCTTCGCTCGGGACCCCTCCAGGACCACCCTGGGAACCCTCCAGACGCCCACCGGGACAGGGACAGCTTTTGGAACCGACCGGACAGTTTTTGGCCCATCTCTCTCTCTATATCCCTCCCTCTCTCTCTTTATCTCTCCCTCCCTCTCTCTTCCACATCGCTCACAGGTGCCCGCAACCCCTCTCCTCCTCTCAGCTGCCATGCGCGTGTCTTTGGGAAATTGCTGAGAGAAGGACCAAGACAAACGCACTCATACTCATCTGCCCCCCCCTCTCTTTGAAAATTCTCAAAGACAAGGACGAAGACCAACGCACTCCGACTAGTCTGCTCCTCCCCTGACACTGCGATCGTGAGCGGGCCCATCTCTGTCGCCGACCCCAGGCAACTTTTTGACACCGCCCCTCAGGGGCCCCCCCGGAGAGCCCCAGATGGGCCAAGATGGCAACCAAGACGACCAAGAGGGCCAAGATGGCGCATCAGGTTGCCTCACGCCCCCCGCGATGCTTACATATGGCCCACAATGGTCCCGAAGCCACTTCCAATGTACCCCAAGACGCCTCGAAAACGGCCCAAGTGATCCCCAAGACGCCTCCAGACAGGCCCCGGAAGGACAAAATCATTGACAATCCTATGTTTTGTCGTGATTTATACGATTCTGCGCTATCGCTCCACAAAAACTCAAAAAAAGCCCTCGATGGCCCCAAGACAACCCAAAATCGCCCTCGGAGATTCCAAGACAGCCCAAAATGGTCCTGGGGCGGTCCCAAGACGGCCCAAGATGGCCCGTGGGCTGTCGAGGGCCCCACGAGGGAGTCCCAATGGTCCCAGTGAGCTCCAATGGGGGCCTCAAGAGGGCTCCAAGAGTGAACTCCGACCCATCTTGGCTCGGGGACCCCTCCAGGACCGCCCTGCCACAAGATGGCCCCAAGACAAGTCCTGATGGCACCAAAATGCCTCCCCGCAGAAACTCGACACGACCGTCGCCCCAGCATTTTTTCCCGTATCGCCACGAACTGACAAAATTTGGGGAGCGGCTGGTGACGTCGCCGCAGGCGTCCTCGATGCTCGTGGCGTGACCGAAACTCACCACAAGGGGTTCGGGCCTGTTTCGGCACCCGAAAGCCCTCACCGGGTCCAAAGCTGCTCGCGATGAAAGCCAGCAATGGGGGAAGAGGCCAGGACTTCTGGTGGCCCCGCACAGAAAAATCAAGACGTCGGTTGTTTGGGGACGGAGACGGCCAGGGAGGGCACGAGGGAGTGTGGGGGGGGGCTGGGCGGGGGCGACGAGGTGATGCTTGGGCACCGGGCCCGCGCCGCCAACACGACGGTGTCTTTATTGTTTTCTTTCTCTCTCTCTCTCTGTCTCTCTCTTTCTCTCTCTCACAGGGGGGGTTCCAAGTGGCGCACAAGCCGAAACGGCTCTCGCGCAGGGAGGGGGTCAATGTTGCCAGACCGTCCCAAAGGCGGCTCTGCAAGTGGTTCTGACAAAGGACGTCGAGCAGGGAGGGGTTGGCCACATCGGCTTCGAGGAGGGAGGGGTATGGGAAGGCGAGGAGGAGGAAGGTCATTTTCCAGTGTGGAGGCGGGATACGATGCGCACTTACGAAACAAATCTTGATATGAAACATGCTTGCGCTCAGAACGTGTATATTATTTGGTGCAACGTGTGTGTGTGTGTGTGCTGCAGATCCACCTCATGTTGTGCAAACTACGTGGTGCAGGTTATGACGTGCAAGTTACTTGTGCAGGCAATAGTGAAAGCTATGTGGTGCAAGCTCCGTGATGCATCGCACAAAGCGCCCACGAGGCGTCCACAGGCGACGGCCGAGCGAAAACCCCTGGAACCCAGCCATCGCGCGAGGCGCCCACGGACGGCAACCAGACAAAAAACCGACTGAACGCAGCCAGCCATGGGTGGCGAACGGGCGACAGCGTACGGGGCCCAGCGCGTTGCTCAGCAGCTAATGAAAGACCCCGCAATTCAAGCACAGATTGGGGAGTCTAGGGCAGATGTGTCGTGCCTTGGCGGCGCGCAGAGAGGGGTATGGGGGAGGGGGGGAGGCTTCTTAGAAGAAGGATGTTTCTTAGAAGGCGCTGGCTTCACATCTGCACACAAGGCCCGCACCTTCTTAGAAGCAAAGGTGTTTATCAGAAGCCTTCCCCGTTCCCCATACCCCCCTTTGCGCGTGGCTGATACCTGCCCTAAGATGCCCCAGGACGTATGTGGACCCCCTCGCCTTCGAGCGATAAGGACTTTCCGAGGGGCACCTGCTGGCTGGCTGCTTTTTGGCGCGGCGCGTATCTGTTTCTAGAGAAGCGCGCAACATTAAATGTTAGACCCGCTGGCTGGCTTATTGCACCAGCGTTCCATTTGATTCTCGGCCACCAAGGTGCGCAACCCATCGGACGACGTGCTATCCTCTGCCTCCGAGCGCACAACCTATGATGCAACTAATCGCAGCCCTTTTGACTATTGGCCACCATGCGCAAACTGCGACGCAACCAATATCTGGCAGTTTTGTTTGCTTGTTTTTCTTTCGGCCGCCGAGAAGGCAATCTATGGCGCAACTAATAGAAGGACGTTGTCTAATCGGCCGCCGAGTGCGCGACCTATGGCGTACCCATGAGCAGACAGGTTTTTCTCGGCCACCAAGTCCGCAACGAATGACGCAACCAATGTCTGGCCGTGATTTCCTCGGCCGGGGAAAGCGCAACCTATGGCGCCATAGCTAGGTGGCTGTATCAGTCGTGGCCGCCGAGAGCGCAACCTATGGCGCAACCAATAATAGCAGGCCGCTTGTTCTCTCGGCCGCTGAAAAGCGCAACCTATGGCGCAACCAGTGGCTGGCCGTTTTAGCATTGGCCGCCGGGAGCACACCCTATGGCGAATCCGATCGCACCCCCCACACATCGGCCGAAATGTTCCCTCATGGCATGAACATGCCGATGGGCTAATGACCCGCACCCCCCTCGTGGTCACGATCTTCCCACTCCGATGTGACCTCCAGCAGCCACCCGGCAATGCCTGGACGCAGGACCAAGACTTGCGGCGAAGCGAAGCGAGCCGTCAAGCCTTGTATACACTTGCGCATATATATATATATATATATATATATATATATACATCTGTGTGTAGAGTACACCCAAGAAAAATCCCAATCACTGGATGAAGTTAAGTGGGATCGACAAAGAAACCGATGAAGAGATCCACCAAGAACCTGGGAACCCGGGAACCGACCAACATCAGCCCGGAACCAATGACGAGGAACCCGGGAACCCAGAACTGGGAGACCGTGAAGCCAGCGGGCCACCAAAAGGCCACCAAAATCAGCGGGAAACGTTCGCCAAATCTTTAACTTTCAGCTAAATGAGACCCCAATCAGTGCAAGCACTGATGGGGGAATATATCTATATATATAAATATATATATATATGTACATATATATGTAAGAATATATGAATAAGTCTGCAGCCCCAGTGGTCCGACCCACTCCCTGGGGGCAGTCTTCGCCGCGGTTCCATCTGTGATGGTGGCAGGCCCAAGCACCGCCCCCCCCCCCCCCCCCGAGACGGCCGAGGTCGAGGAACAAAAATGCGGGGGCTGAAAACCACAATGCTCTCAGAGAGATCTGTGCCCCTCGAGAGGCACAGATCTCCGAGAAGCACATGGTGAGCGTCTTGTTTTTGCTGCTCGGCGTTTCGACATTACGCGGAAGGGGGGTGGATGGGGGGGGGTCTGTCTCTGGACCTCTGCTTTAGGCGACTGTTTGCAACATGGCGTCCGTTAGGGGGGAGGCCCCACCTGCTCGAAACAGGCGACAAAACACAGCCAAGATCCACTCCAAGGGGGGAGGGGGGGGGAGGGTGCGAGGGCCCGCGCCGACCGGCACAACGATGCATAAAGAAACGACCACATGGGCTTGGGGGTCTGGGGAGGGATCCCTCCCCGGACACCCAACCTCATGTGTTTCTCAGAGCTCCCCCCCAGAGGTCCCGAGCCCGTCCCCGGGACGGGCGTTCCGATGTGATACGCTGTCCAATGGCCCCGAGGACCGCCGAGGGCCCCCCAGAGGCGGAAACTGGCGAAAAACCCTCCGTCGTGCTTTGCTCACGACTCGAGGGGGTCTGCGTCCATCCCCTCCTGCCTTCCCGCGGCCATGCGCAAGAGTGGCCCTGAGTAAGAGTGATCTCTGGTGCGCGGCATTCTGGGAGCAAGGGGGGGAGCAAGCACAAGCGCGCAAGACGCCACCTATCGCATCGCGCTCGGCGATCGGGGGACCCATTTGGGCCCGCACCAAAGGTCACACCAGCGAAGGGTCACTCTTACCCATCGGTCGGAAGAAGTAGGTAGAACCATGAAGTAGGACGGCATTGGAGGTAGATTTGGTTTCCGCCGCCCCCAGAAGAGAAGGGAAGACGGGAAAATCACTCGACTCTTGAAGCAGGAAGCCGCCCAAAATAGATTGGTACCTCGGAGTCCAGGAATCACGATTTTCAACCACCGACGAGTACGTGCAATCGGCTCCTCGCCGTCGCTCGGACGTCCATTCCCCCGTGCATTTGTCGACGCCCTGCGTTTTCTGTTGCTCGATGATCCAGGAGGCTCCTCGATGGTCCCCGCCGAGAAAAACTCACCCGTCCCAGCGATACCAAGATTCCCTTCCCAAGAACTGCTTGCTTGGGGCGGGGAGGCCGCTCTGCGCCGGTCCGCCTCCGCATGCCCCGCGGGCGGCGCGCCGCCCTCGCCGTCCGAGGAGGAGCTCAGGGAGCCGCGCGCCTGGGCCGGAGCGCGGTCGACGGCTCTTAAGGGGAAACCGACACCACAGGCGGTGGCGACGAGGGCCTCCGGGGAGGCACCAGGAGGGGAGGACGAGCGCAGGAGGGGGGAGGAGGAGGAGGAGGAGGAGGAGGAGGAGGAGGAGGAGGAGGAGGAGGAGGAGGAGGAGGAGGAGGAGAGGGGGAGGAGGAGGAGGAGGAGGAGGAGGAGGGAGGAGGGAGGAGGAGGAGGAGGGGGAGGAGGAGGACGAGCGAGGGGCAGCACTACTGGGTGCCCTGTCCTCCCCTGACCCCCTCTCGCGCCGTGCAGAGACCGCGGCGGAAGGCCTGGGGCAGTGCGCGGCGACCCCGGGGGGGGCCTCGCTGGGCCCCCGGGGCTGTCGACACACCACCGCTCGCTCGGAGCGGATGGAGTCGGAGGATCGCGCGCGCCGCATCACTGACGCGTCGGCGTCGCATCGCTTCGGCGACGTCGGCGTGCATACTTTGGGTCCGCGTCGAGCCGCATCTCCGATGCATCGGCGAAACGGCGCGAGCCTCCGACGGCCTCCGCGGCAGACACATACGATCCCCCACCGTGCCTCTTGGCACGGAGTGGGCGTGTCCTCAGGTCCTTTGCCCAATCGCCCAAGCCCCAATCCTCAAGCCTCAATCTTCAAGGACCAGTCCTCACTCCTGAGGGGGCTCTGAAGGGACCTTGAGCCCAACACTTCGCATCACCCCGCATGACTCTTTGGGGCCCACGGGGGCCCCAAGACGGGCACAGAGGGCCCCAAGAGGCCCCAACGACGGCCCAAGAGGGCCCCGAGTCGCCGAATGATTGCTCCAAGACGCCCAAGATGACCTCAAGACGGCCGCAGAAGCCTCCAAAGCACCACGAGAGGCCTCCTAAGAGAGCTCCCAGAAACAAAAGTCGCTGATTTCCCTCCAGTTTCGGAGGATTTGGGCGTTCTCGCCTTTTCAGCTTGCCGACGCCCCTAGACGGCCCAAGAGGCTGCCAAGATCGCCCAACGACGGCCCCAAAGGCACACAAGACGGCCCAAGACGGCACAAGCGGGCCCCAAGACGGCACAGGAGGCGCCCAAGACGGTCCAGATGAACCCGAACGAACATTCCGAGCGAGGGCCCCGAGAAAGCCCCAAGAGGCCCCCAAGAAGCCCCCAAGAGGCCCCAAGAGGTCGCCAAGAGGCCCCCCAGAGGCACCCAAGAGGCAAATACTGCCCCCGAGAGGCCACAGAGAGCGCTGCGAAGAGATCCCAGGAAGCATCCCTGAGAACTCTGACCCACAATCCAAGCACACTGACCGGATGGGCCGAAGGCCATTAGATAATTATCCCAGTGCGACCATACCTAGGAGTTGGAGCCCGTAGGAAAGCAGCATCAGTAGTAACAGTAAAGCTAAGCTAAAGCTAAGCTAAATCTGCGCTAAAGATAAGATGCAGCTAAGTTAAAACAGAGGTAAAGCTAAGCTAAAGCTAAGCTGAAGCTAGGGTAAAGCTGAGGTAAAGCTAAGCTAAAGCTAAGATAAACATGAGCTAAAGCTAAGCTAAACTAAGCTGAATATAAGCTAAGGCTAAGCTAAATCTGGGCTAACGCTAAGCGAAAGCTAAGCTGACACTACGCTAAAGCTGAGCTAAAGCTAAGCAAAAACTAAGCTAAAGCTAGGCTAAAACTAAAGTTAAAGCTAAAGTTGAGCTACCGTTAAGCTAAAGCTAAGCGACAGCTAAGATAAAGCTAAGCTAAAGCTAAGTTAAGACTAAGGCTAAAGCTACAGCTACATCTAAAGCTAAAGCTAAACCAAGCCAATCTAAGCTAAGCTACGTTAAGCTAAGCTGAGCTAAGATGAGATAAGCTAAGCTAAGATAGGCTAATAAGCTTAGCTAAGCTGAGATGAGGTAAGCTAAGCAACGCTAAGCTAAGCTAAGCAAAGCTAAGATGAGATAAGCTAAGCCAAGCTAAGCTAAGCTAGGCTTAGCTTAGCTAAGCTGGACTGGGTGAACCCAGGGGGCGCAACTGGGGAACCGCGGGGCGGGGACAGGGGGAACCGCCCGGGGCGGCCTACACTGCCGGGCCCCTTTAAGCAAACCAAGTAAGAACCCTCTAGGCAGCGCCTAGGTAGGGAATACATCTTGCTGCGCGAAATCTTGGGGCACATGACTCGTCGATCATTGAGGCTCTGAATGAGCTCCAAAGCTTCAGCAGGTCCGTCAGGCCATCGGGAGACCCGACTTTTCCATGAGGCACCTGCTGGCAGCACTCGCCCCCCATCTGGGAGGCTTGGACTCGCGGCGGCCAGCGTCAACCCCTCGGATGCCAGAGATAAGGGAGCACCATACGTCATATCGGAGCTTGGATCGGCGCTGGGCCACCCTCCTTGGCGCGCGGAGCGCGCCATGGGCGGCGCCAGAGGCGCCGCCAGGGGGACCCAACGCAGACTCAAAACTTGCCATCGCTCGGACGTCCATTTCCCGTGCATTGCTCGGTCTCGCGCGTGTGGAAAAAAAAGTGTTCGCAAGATGGTCCAAGATGCTCCTGGATGGTCCAGGTTTTCTGGCGCTGGCCTCGCCGAAGGCAAGGAGCACAACGCGCAGACGCCCGAGAACTCCTGCGTGTGCCGTTGCTTGCTCCTCGACACCCCCGGCGCGCTCCTCCTGAAGTGCTCTCGGCCGCGAGTGCCCCGGCGCCCTCCCTCTCGTCCTCTGCGGCCGCTCCTCCTCCTCCTCGAGCGCCCCCCGCCCTGGCTGCGGGGCAGCGAGTTCGTCGAGCGCCCCCGACAGCTCCGAGCGCTGTGCGGATTGCCTCTGCCATGCCGTGACGAAAGTAACATACTCGATACCGTACAGGGCAGTTTTGACTACATAGGACGTTTAAACATATAGGATCTTTAACACACGATTAATGCATGAATAAATGTATGCATGAGCCCATCGTCGTTTTTAGTACTAAACCCCTGCAGTTGTAATACATGCTCCGCACGCAGGGCATGCATCATTACTCCTCCTTCTTACACCTCCTCCTCCTCCTTACTCCTCCTCCTCCTCCTCCTCCTCCTTGCTGGTCCTCCTGCTTCCTCCTCCCCCTCCCCCTCCTCCTCCTACTCCTCCTCCTCCTCCTCCTCCTCCTCGTCCTCGTCCTCCTCCTCCTCCTCTTCCTCCTCCTTACTCCTCCTCCTCCTCCTTGCTGGTCCTCTTACTTGCTCCTCCTCCTCCTCCTCCTCCTCCTCCTTACTCCACCTCCTCCTTCCTCCTCGTCCGCCTGCCTCGTTTCTCGTTCTGTCTCGCTGGGGTCCTGTATTGGGGAACGCCGCCTAGCGCACTCCTACTCCCTCTCCTCATTCTCCTCCTTCTCCTCCTCCTCCTCCTGCGCCTCCTCCTCCTCCTCCTCCTCCTCCTCCTCCTCCTCCTCCTCACTCTCATCTTCGGTTCCCTCCTCCGCCTCTTCCTCGCTGTGTTTGCGTTTGCTCCTTATCCTTCTCATTGATCCTCCCCATCCGACATTCAACGCGTTCGAACATCCAGGACGCCATGGGCATCACCAAATCACGACCAAAACGGTCGACGGTAGCTCTCGGCTACACTGCCGTTATGCCTGATGATTTGTCGTGTCGGGACGATCCGCGAGGGCCCTGGATTCACGTGGGGTCTGACTGCCAACACCACTCCAGCGGACAAGCCTGGAGAGACAGCCTGCACCACATGGATGCCAGTCGCGTGCACCCCACCTCTTGGTATGGAGCGGCCCTCCCTCGTGAGCGCAGCGCTCGCACTGCATCAAGAAGCATGCACTGCACGAACTTGCACCACGTGGTGGCACCCCGGCCCGAAGACCCGAGGCCGCCGCCGAAGGCCACCCGCCGCAGCCGCACGAGCTCCTCCTCGAGCGAAGCGCCAACGATGCGGTCGCACATCGCCTCGGCCCGAGGCTTCGCAGAGAGCAGCGTGCGGCCCGCAGCCCGCGCCCTCGGTGGCGCGTGCGGTGTGGGTCGCGCCGGCGTCGCTCGCGAGGCTCCCCCGCCCGCCTGGGATGCAAGGCCTGCGGTGGAACAGCGGGCGGCCATTCTCTTGTGCGAGGCCCGGTCGGGGGGCACCTCCGGACCGGGACACCTCGAGGATCTCTGAGGTCCGGCGGCACGGGAGGATGTCTCGGGTGCCGCGGCCGTTCCAGGGGGCCCCTCGGCAAATGGAAAAAGTAAATCGCACCACTCCAAGCAAAAACTGCCTGCGCGCGAGAATCCTGGCTCCTGCACCATCGCCGTCGAGCATCCGCAACCGTGGCTTGCGCACGCTGGGCGTGCTAGAATGCTCCTTTGCTGCTCAGTAAAATAATAATATAATAATAAAAAGAAGAATAATAATAATAAAAAAGCAGTAATAATAGTAGTAATAAGAACAATAATAATAATACTAATACTAATACTGATACTAATACTAATACTGTCTAGGGCAGGCCCCACCCCTCCCCGAGCGGCATGAGCTGGTTTCGTCCAAGCTGGTTTCACCACCAGGAAGCTTGTAGGCATCGTCGTGGTCGTCGATGTCGTCGTCGTCGTCGTCGTCCTCGTCACAGCCTGCACTTGCATCGCTCAACACAGAAGCTCCACCTGATTCCTCAGTGAACGCGACCACATGAGCTACTGCCTCAGGGTGCTGCACATCCATCAAGCGGGTCGTTCGCCACAGGGGATCCACCCACGGCCTCAGTAGGCGCGGACGCATGCGCTACAACCATCCCTCTCGGCACACCTCTGACGCGGATGGTGCCCAACAGGGAGCTCGTACGGCTTCAGTGGGCGCGAACGCATGCGCTCACGAACACCGCCCACTTTGGCGCAACCCTGACGATGTACATGCCTCGAAGGGAGACCCACCTGTGGCCCCAACGACGGAACTCGCATGCGCTACTGTCATCCAGTACGGCACACCCGACACACGGTCATTCCCCAACAGGGACCCCCACCGACGGCCTCAGCGGGATGCGACCGCATGCCATCTGCTACAACCACCCAATCCAGCCCAGCGCACCCCTGGCACGCAAGGTGCCCCAGAGTGGGCTCCACCTACAGCCTCAGCGGGCGCGTCCGCGTGCGGGACTGCGCCCATCTCGGAACACCTCCCATGAGGATCGCGCACGGCAGGGAACTGTTGCATACCTGCGCGTCAGCTCCGCAGCCCAGTATCCGCACTGCCCTGTGGCGCGCAGTTCATGGAGAAGCACGCCCTGCGCTGCACGCAGCTGCAGATCTGTGCTCTGCGGCAGGCTGGAGCTTACGATCCCTCGCCCCAGCCCGCCCCTGCTTCGACTGCGTCGATGCGTGACTGGACAGATGGACGAACCTGCCGTCGCGAATGTGTCTCGAGACGCCCAGGGAGGTCTGGGGCCTTCTCCGCCCCCTCGCCCTCGCGAGGGCGACAAGAACGGGGGCGGGGGGGGGAGACGAAGGCGCCGGCACGCTTGGGCTAGAAGCGGCCGTCTCGGCTAGGCGCAGGAGTACTGACCCTGAACAAGAGATTGGCGGCGAGCGAGGGGGGGAAGTGAGCAGGAGATGGCCATCTCAGAGAGCGGCGGGAACTCTCCATCGGAAGACTTCCTCTTCGCCTTCGGGGCAGGTTTATAGACGCTTCTCAGAGGGCTGGGGCGCTTCCGCGCCTGCAGAGAGGGCCCGCCCCTCCTCACTTCCCCCCCTGGCTCGCCGCCGCAGGGAGGCCCTGGTTGCGTGGCGTGCCGATCCTCGCACGCCGTGCGGCAGAGGTGGCCTGCGTCATCGGCCTCGGCCTCCGTCGCGGCCCCGCTGGGACATCGCCGCGCGCCAGAGGTCACCACACGGCGAAGGGCCGCCCTTGAGAGCGCGTGGCCGATGGCCCGAGACGGGGCCACGGAGGCCAGGCCAGGGGCCCGGGCAGTCGGGGGGAGGCCCCTGCTTTGGACGCCCGAAAAGGGTACGGAAAGAATGGGCACAATGCCCAACAGCAAATGTTGTACCAACAGCGGCCGCTCTTGGGCGGGCGACCTCCTGTCTCGAATGGACACAGGCCGCGGCGGCGCGGACAGCGAGTCCTGTTCTCAATGAACAAGAACTGCTGTTGGGCATCGTACCCATTCTTTCCGTGCCCATTTCGGGCGTCCAGATCTGCTCGCAGACCCCCGGCGTCGTGACTTCTGTGCGCGGCGTGGGCCCCCGAAAGAGGTCTCGCACCGTTCCCCGGGACTGGCGCCGCTTCGCCCTCGGCGCTTTTTTCTCGGCGGTGCCGAAGCCCGGCGAGGGCCCACGGCCGAGAACGGCCAGTACCTTCCCGTCGCAAATTCCGGAGTTGACAGCTCTTCGCTCGAGTGTCCACCGGTGTAAGGTCGGGTGTGTCCACCTACAGGCGGATCCTGGACGAAAAATCAAAAATACATTTAAACAATGCCCCAGACTAGTCAAAAAATAATCAAAAAATCGTCCCCAGTCTATTTTTGAATATTCCCCCTTTTGAGGGACAGGCCCGACTCAGTGGTGAAAACGAGCAGAACATGTCTCACAAAAAGAGGACGCGGGGAGCCCGCGAGACCGCCCATGTCAGCAGCGGTCCGGCCGCCGTTTCGCTGGAGACGTGCTCACAAGTCTTTCGGGAATCGCGCCCCCGCCTCCGTGCCACGAGCTCCGGAGGTGAGAAGCGCAGGAGGTGCACAGGGCCGCGCTCTCCCCCCCCTGTCCCCGATGCAAGCGTCGTGCGCCTCCGGGGAATGCACGGTCGGGAGACGCTTCATGGGGGGGGGGACCCCATGGGGGGATAGGATCCCAGGGGGGGTGGGGATCCCATAGGATCCCCTGGGGATCCGACGGGGGGGCAGGAGGGGATCCCATGGGGGGGATCCCCTCCTGCCCCCCCTAGGGGATCCACCCCCCTATGGGATCCACCCCCCATGGAGAGTCTCCCGACATGGGCTTCCTCGGGCTGCGCGTGCCGCCTCCTGCGCCTCGACCCGGCTCTTCCCCCGTGCTGCTCTTAATTGGGGTGCTCCGCCGGGGTGTCTTTTATCACGACGCGGGCACGTCGGGGCCTCCTCCTCGCCCTCCCGCTTACGGGGAAGCCCCACGGTGCCCCCGGTGGTCGAAGTCCCGGTGCCCTGCTGGGAGGCTCTGGGCATGGATACATTTGGGCCGCCAGGGGCCCGACGACATTGAAGGGGCCCTGGGACATACAAATAATAAATACACACAAATAAAAAGATTCCCCATATTTTCCCATAGTTTCTGGGTTTTTGTCTTCCCCCCCACTTCCCATATTTTCCCATATGTTTCTGGGAATCGCTGATTAATTGTGTCTGTGTGTTTCTTTCCCTCCTGATACATCCATGCCCACCGCCTGTGGAGGTCCGCGAAGGTCCACCCCCCGAGCGGTGGTTGTGGGAGAAACAGGGAGGCACCGATACCGCTGCTGCCCAGACTTCTCCTGGGGTGCCTTCTGACCAGAATTTCGAAGCGAATCCCGCGGTGGCGACGAAGGCCTTCCAGGAGGCCCAAAAATGCGAACACGAGGGGAGGGTAGCAGTATCGGTACCTCTGCCTCCTCGGAGAACGCGTCTTGCTCCACCGCCGATGGAGGTCCGCGAAGATCTATCCTCAGGCGGTGGTTATGGATACATGCCCAGGGGGTGGGGGATGCCGGCCGTCCGGAAGAGCCCTCCCGCCGCGCGCCGGCGACGGCAGCCGCCACGGGCGCCCCTGCGGCGTCACGGGCTGGCGCACCTCGGCTGCGGCAAGCCAGGTTGGGCTGGCCTGCCCAACATGTGATGCCAGAAGCTATACGCGACCGCCGCCTGGAGGACCCAGGCATGCTCGCGCCGAGAACAAAAATATGACGGGAGGCTTCTGCGCGAGAGCCCGAAAGACCGAACGGGGGGTTGAAGAGGTGCTCGTATTGCCGATTTCAGCTCAAGCTCTAGGCTCGAGGAGGCTTATCTAGCGAGCTCAGAGCGGGTGTAGGCAATCGCCCGCCGAGGCTGTCTCTTGCGTCACGCTTGACGCACGTCCGTCCCCAGCAGCAGGTAGAGAGCACACCTCATCAAATCGTCGAGTGCCCGACTTGACAATGGGAGCGCTTAGAAGCGCAGTTTGCTCATGTTTGACGGACCTTCTCGCTCGAGTTGTCATGTCTGGCGGCCGCCTGCTAAGATTGACCCGAGGGCGCTGCACTGTCAGATTGTCTATCAGCGCGGTCCGCGTGCTCGGATGGCCGATTTGAGCGCCTGCACAGAAGGACCACGAAGCCTCGATCGCATACACCTGGCGCCTCGGAAAAAAAACGATGCGGCCGAGATGCCGCCATTTGTGGTCTCTATGGGCTCTGGGAAGGCGTGGGTGCCTTCTCAGCGCCCATGCTGCCCTTTCATGAGCCCTCTTGGAAGGCTTCGGGGTCGTTTGAGAAAGGCCACCCCCGCGCCACACCGCCGTCTGCGCACTGCCAACATGGCCGTGTCCAGGCCACCCTCTGAGAGATGCTGCTCTACGACTGGCACACATGGGTCAGCGGGGACAGGTGCAATAGTGCTTGCAACACGAAACGCCTGGAAGCAACAATTGGCGCGCTGGATGTGAGATATGCTCGTGGACGCGGTTGTTTATACCTTCAGCATGCAATAATGATTGTCCGTTCTATAATTCGCGCCCCCCCCCCCCCCCACCCCCAAAAAAAGTCTCATCAGCCCTTTGGGTTAAGGTGGTCTAGCGATGTCTTCTTCTCCTCTTCCACGAATAACCCCTCTCCCTACCCCCTCCCCTGGACACCCTGTAAAGATCCTTCAATAACACTGCAACCCCCCATGCAAAAACCAAGCAAAGGGCCTCGCAATACCCTGCAAAACAACCCTGCAATACGCTGCACTTCCTTTGCAAAGCCGGCCCTGCAAACACCCCTCAAGGGCCTTGACGACCCTGCAAACACCAATAACCTGTATTGCTCCAAACTTTTACACTGATCCTGCAGAACTCTCCTTCCGCGAGGTCCACCCCCCTTCCCAAAAGATTCTTGGCGGGTTTCGCGAGGCGTTAGGGCGGCGCCCAAGATGGCCTCGGCGAGAAGGCCAGAATCATTGATGTTACACGGGTTGTGGGCCACTTTTGGCCTGGGGGGGGGGACCAAAAGTTAGCAATCCCCCTTTTGATCGATTGCCTCCAAGATGGCCTCAAGAGGCCCCCCAGGGCTCCCAAGGGACCCCCAAGAGGGTTCCAAGAGGGCCCCAAGAGGGCCCCAAGACCCCCCAAAAGAGCCCCAAGAGGGCACCAAGAGGCGATTTCGAGAGCTCTGTCATCGTCCTCGCTGTCCTCCTCGTCCTCGCTGTCCTCCTCCTCCTCCTCCTCTTCGTCCTCGGCCTTGCCCTTATCGTCTTCCTTTTCTATTGTCCTCCTCTTCCTCATCGTCGTGGTCGTGTGGTGGCCGTGGGTGTGGTGGTGGTGATGGTCGTGTTCGTCGTCGTGGTCGTGGCCGTTGTCGTGGTCGTGGTCGTAATCGCGATCGTGGTCGCGGTCGTCGTCATCGCCGTCGACGTAGTCTTCATCCTCCTTCTGCTCCCCTCGCCCCCGCGCGGGCCCCAGGAATGGACCGAAGAGGCTCTCTAAGTAAGGCCACCCCCTTGCTCCCAGAGATCTCTCTGTTCACCCTGGTTGCCCGCTGTGCTTCGCTACATGTGCCTCTTCGTCCCTTTTCCCATCAACTCTCATGGGCGGGGCTTTTGAAGGGGCTGGCGGGGATACACTTTTTTGTTCGGCGGCTCCAAGGAAAAGCCCAGGGAGCGGTCACAACGTCCGGGCCGCGGCGCATTGTAAATTGGCGATCCAGCCGTCACTGTCGACAGCAGACCGCTCCTGCAAGCGAGCTCGCAGTTGCACATGCTCAGTACAACGTGTACTGAATTCGCAGGCGACGCACATAGGCGCAGCAGCGAACCAAAAGACGCAGCTAGCTGGTGGGGATACACGAAGCATGAAGAATTGAGCACCGTTGCGCGCAATGACATGAGGTTAACTCGAAGAATGTCACTTTCCACCGCCGACCCATCTGCACCAAACCAACTAATGCTTCGCAGGGGGGATCTTCGAACACCCGGCTCTGGGGAAACCGACAGGTACCGATACTGCAACTCCCTGGACCTCTCCCGGGTTGCATTCTGAACAGAATTTCAAGGCGAATCCAGCGGAGGTGGCAAGGGACTCCCAGGAGGCCTAGAATGGGAAAACAGGCAGGGGGTAGCGGTATGGGAACCTTTTCCTCCTCTGAGGTTCCACGCTGCTGCGCTCCTAGCGCCTCTCGAGGTGGCGCAGCGGCAGTCGTTACTGGACGCCCTCCCTCAGAACTAGAGGACGGCGGAGCTTTCGGCACGGGTGAGCCTGAGAGGCGGCAGCCCAGGATGCTAATGCCTCCACAGGCATGACACAGCCTGCGGTACAGACATGGTCTGGCCCCCAAGGGGCGAAACAAAGCAGACAAAACAAACCCGCATGCTGTTGCAGGGCGCTCCTCTACAGTGGGGGCCCGACCACAAGAAACCTTCCACAAGAAACCCAACCCTGAGACCCCAGGGCTTCCATTGGTATTTGGTGTGGGAACGTCGCACTTTCCAGGGCAAGACCATCGAAACTCGAGACACCCAGGGCACCCCGGAGGCAAGAAGGGTTATGGGTCTCCACTGTATGCAGCCACAAGGTACCGATACAGCTACTTCCTGGACCTCTCCTGGGGTGCGTTCTGACCAACATCTGGAGGCGAATCCAACGGTGGCGACCTCCGAAGAGGCCCAAAGAGGGGAAAACGGGCGAAGGGTAGAGGTGTGGGTACCCTTCCCTTCACTGATCTGTGCTCCCCCCCGCCGAGAAGCGTCGCAGTTGAGCAGGGACCGACCGTCGGGGCATTCCTATATGCCTACTACAAAGTGTTCTTAGAACCAACAAATGTTCTAAGAACGAGTACAACGCTCTTAGAACGTGAACCCGACGTGTTAGAACAAGACTGTCCCAACCAGAACTGTTCTGAGAACACTTCGTGGACACCACAAACGATTCCTAGAATATTGCTTGGTAGGCTTATAGACAAGCCGGGACGCTTCGCCCCTGCTTGACTGAAGGGGCCCAAGGACTCACAAATAAATACACACAAAGAAGATGGTTCCCCATAGTTTCCAATGCTTTCTGGGATTTTTTGTCTTCCCGCCCAATCCCCCTATTTTCCCCTATTGTCTTGGGGATCCACGATGAATGGTGTCTGTGTGTGTCTTTTCCCCCCCCTGCTTGACGCACACGTCAGGAGCGCACGGCGACGCTCCCTCTGTCGGCCGCGCTGGTCGCTCGGCGCGCCGGGCTCCCCCCCCTCAAACTCGAGGACGCACGAGGCGCCGGCCCGTCCTCGGTCGCCAAAGGGCTCGCGGAGGGGCGCCACCGAGGACGGCGCCAGCTCCGGAAGTCCAGCGGACCTCCGAGAGGTCGAGGTTCGTCTACAGTCGGGGCGTTGACCGAAGGAGCCCTAAGTAAGGAACGAGGCCTCTACTTACATTAAATTGCCATTCGATTCCCCATAGAAGACCTCAGGAAAACCCAAGGCAAACTGCACAACAATCAAGGAACACCGAGCCCCTCCCCAACGAAAAGGGTTCCTTCTTCAGCGCCCCGACTGTAACATGACGTCGGGCACGTCCTCCTACAGGCGGATTGGAAGGAAAGGAAACACAACGCACATTCAACATATACTCAATCATATTCAAAGCTGATACGAAAATCGCCCCCATACCATGTTTTACCTTTGTTTGAATATTCCTCCTGTAGAGGGACGTGCCCGACTCAACACTAGGAGCGCTAAAGAGGCCCCCCAGGCCCCGATAGGCGCCTGGGTGCACGAGGAGCGCCAAAGAAACAACCATGGAAGGGCCAAAAGGACGACTGAACCCTTTACCGGCCTGAACTGTCTCGGCTTCTGGACTGTCTGTTGTTCTCGTTGCCGATTCTGAATAAAAAGAAACATTCGACGATCTGATTTTTCAACGAGGGGCCCCAGGGGGGCCGAATCCCTTCAGGGATAGTTTGCCGCCCTGGGTCCGCTTGTGATGGCCTCGCGGTGCCCAATAACGTCCCCAAAAGGCGGAAAAGTCAAGGGAACATGCCCGGATTGAAAAAGTCATACGGTCAGGAACTGTTGCTTAGCGTGTCGCGTCGACGGCCTTGGCGACACGCCATCCCTTGCAACGTGATAACTGACGTGTCGCTCGGCTCCGCCGGGAGGGCGGCTGGGAAACGCTCGGGGACGTCGACGCTTGGGACTTGGGAACTGGCCAGCGTGTCGCGCCGAAGCGCGGGGGGCCAGGAACCAGCGGAGCGACACGCGAACCAAACGTGCCCGAGCGCAGCCTCGGAGATCGGCGAGCAGGGCCCGACTACCGCGCCCCCCGAGGCACCGCCCACGGGCTGGGCGCGGCGGGAGGCGGCGGGGCGGGCGTGGCGGCGGCCGCGGTGTCCTGCGGAAGGGGGGGGGGTCGCGCTCGACCCACCCCATCCTCGTCCACGTCTTCCTGCCACTCCTCCTCCTCCTCCTCCTCCGCCTCCTCCTCCTCCTCCTCCTCCTTCTCCTCCTCCTCCTCCTTCTCCGCTGTAGCACAGTTCTGGCGGCTCCGTCGTGGAACACAAGTGAAACCACGTAGGCGAGCACTCCTACCGCTGTTGGCGTAAGAAACGCCCATCCACAGACGTGGCGTCGACGGTGCCGCGCCCAAACCCGCCATCTCAATATTGCGTTCGCGGCCGTTGTCGGAGTGCAAGCATCGGCATAAAAAAACTCAAAACTCCACCGTCAAGGCAACCCCGTTCTCAACGTTGAAACTGTGGGGGACGGGGGGTTCTGAACACAGCAGCGTTGTCCATCATGCTTGGTGGGCGTTTGATCACGCCAACGGCGGTATTCCAGCGTCCCCCCAGCAAACAAGGCCCCAAACGCCCAAGACTGAAACCCGGAGCCTCCCCGGCCTTCCGAACCCGTGGGCTCGCGTCGCAGCGTGGACCCCCAGACCTATAGGGGCCCTTCCCCGAGCCGCGTTCCATCCCGAGCCGTTTCTGTTCACCAGCCCCCCAGGGCCCAGCAAGGGTCCCACAGAGCCCGAAAACTGCCGAAAACCTTCAGTCGATCGTACTGCCCTCGCTCGGCCGTCCCTCCCCCCGTGCGTTTCTCGGCTCCGTGCGTGCATGTATCTGCAAGGGCGCCTCGTTCTGAGGCTGCGCCCCCCTTGTTCCTCCCCCATCGCTGGTTAATTCAAGCTTCGCGCGGCCCGCTTAGCTTTGACCGGAAGAGGTGCGCTCTCGACCCGCGAATCAAAAAATGTATCCGCAAGGGTGATCCACGATGCTCCCCGATGGCTCCCGCAGAGGCAAAATATGCACACGCCCGAGCGATGCCAAGCGTCTCCGGCTCACGACGCGAGCGCACCCTGGGGTCTCCCCTCGAGCATCGCTCAACGGACCCGTCCAGGGGTGCGCCCCGGTCACAACTTCTCCTCCTCCTCCTCCCCCTCCTCCTCCTCCTCCTCCTCCTCCTCCTACTCCATCCTCCTCCTCCTCCATCCTCCATCCTCCTCCTACTCCTCCTCCTCCTCCTCCTCCTCCTCCTCTTCCTCCTCCTCCTCTATCCTCTTCCTCCTCCTCCACCCTCCTCCATCCTCCCCCTCCTCCGAGGCGGACCAAGCCGCGGCGACGAGCCCCCCACCCCTCCCCCAAGAGGCCCCCCCGCAGGGCACGAAGCAGACATCGCCCCAACCGCCGCGGCGCCCGACGGCGCAGAGGGTCCTCCCGGGGCCTGGCGTGGTCCTGCCGCTGCTTGCGCCGGCAGCAGGCGGCGGGGGGCCAGATCAGGAGCCTCTGCGGCGGCTGGCTTCGGACGTCCCCGGTCCGGCCGCGCGTCGTCGTTGTTGTCGTCGTCGTCGTCGTCGTCGTCAGCATGAGGGGGCCGAGCGGTCTTACAGCATCTTCGGCTTCGTGCCTGAGCTGGGTCTCCGCGGGGGGGATTCTTGATGGCCTGTCACAACTGAAAAAAAACTATGAATATTGACCCACCACGCCTGGTGCCAATTGTATGCTTCAAGTGACGTGCCCCAGTGGGGCTCGCAGCAGGATAACTATCAGGGAAGGTCTTGGGCCAAAAAACTTTGCCCTTGGGCCCCAATGTGGATCGATAACGGTCCCGCCTGCCCGCGATGTATTACGCACTCGCGGTCTCGCTCGGGACATCCTCCGTCGAAGAATCGCACTCTCGCTCGGAAGCTCCTCACACGTCATGATGCAGACGCCGCGTACTCGGCACTCAGGAATCACGCTCTCGCGCGATACCACCTCGCAGGTTCCCCAAGATTCGTGGCCTCGCCTGAACTATTATATTAATACTGTTATGATTAATCATTCGTATCATGAGTACGATTTCTGTTAGCACTGTTATTAGTCATAATTTTAGTGTTGTTATTATTCGTATTGCTACTGTGACTAATATTAATATTATACACAAATCTAAACATGTAATTTACAAACGCTGCTGCAATGCCTGGCCGCAAAACTGGCCCGTACCGCCCGCGCGACCCGCCCGTGAGGGCCCGCTCGCCCGACCCGCCCGTCCGGGTCCCCCAGCCTGCCTGCTCGGAAGCCCGACCGCCCGCCTGCTTCAACGTCCCGCCGACACGCCCGTCAGGGTCCGCCCGCACGACCCGCCCATCGAGGTCCACCCGCGCAACCCAAGAAGATCTGGCCCTTCGCGTGCCTGGAGGCCCGCCCGCTCGCTTTGATGCCCCACCCGCCCGACACGCCCGTCAAGATCCACCCGCCCGATCCGCCCGCTAGTGCCGACCCGCCCGTCCGATCACCAAAATATGGTTCCTCCCTCCACCACGTCCTGCTCAATACTCTTTGCCCTCATTCCTCCTCCCTTCATTGGCCCCCATTCCTTCTCGTTGCGTCATCCTTTCCTCGCCCTCTCCCTTGTAGGGGCCGCACCGGCTACGCGTGGCAGAGGAGGAAGATATGCCCTCAAAGGGGCACGAACGAAGGCGACGAGGGTGGGTATCGAGGGCTCGGGGCATACATTCTGAATCGCGTGCGAACGACGAAGAGCGAACAGTCTCATAATGCATGTATGTTGTTGTTGCTGCTGATGTTGCTGTTGCTGCTGTTGTGGAGGCACCATTTCTAGACAATGGTTATTTGTGGTGTCCCCCCTCCTGCTATCTTGCAAGGAACAGCCTTGGGTCTCCAGACTGCGTTGCTGGCCCCCGAGCTAGAGCACCCCGCTTTTGAAACGACTAGCTCTGATCTGCTCGCGCGCCACTCAACATGTGCATCCCGAACCCTCGAGACCCACCCTCCTCTACTTCGGCTGTACCCCCTTGGGGGCATGTCTTCCTTACCTGCCGCGTGTAGTTGGCGCAGCCCCCGAAACAGGTACAGTGAAAACGTATAGTAAGGACGCGTGGTGAGGACGCGAGACCCTTGGAGGCCGCAGTTGAAGTATTCTGGCCTGCGAAAACTGCTAGGGACGGGCCGCAGAGGCTGAGGCAGGCAAGGACCCAAGGGTACCCTTGAAAAAGTCGTTTGTCCTTACTAGGCGCGTTGACTGGAGGGCAGGGGGGAGGGAAGCGACAAAGGGGGGAGGGAGAAGCAGGGAGTCCTCCTCCTCCTCCTCCTCCCCCTCCCCCCCCCTCCTCCTCCTCCTCCTCCTCCTCCTCCTCCTCCTCCTCCTCCTCCTCCTCCTCCTCGACCACGAAAGAAGGTTAATTAGGGGGCAGGACGACCGGCGGCGGAACTGGACGGGCGGGCCGGGCGGGCGGACCCTGACGGGCGGGTCGCGCGGGCGGGGCCCAGGCTGCCGGGTGGAGCGGGCGGGCCGCTGGAGCGCCAGCCCTGCACGCCTCGTGCGGCCGCTGGAGCGCCAGCCCCGCATGCCTCGTGCGGAGGTCTTTCGAGGGGCAGCGCGGTTCTCGAGGAAACCGTGGGGAAAGCCAGAGCGACAACAGCGTCGTCCCTGAGTGTCGAGGGAGGGGCGCCCGAGGGTATCCCACGCGAAAGCGCGGCTCTTGGCTAAATCATTAAAGGAACTCCCGCGCGGGAGCAAGATTTTTGAATCTATGCACTGTGAGGGAATGTCCGCCCGGGACCGTTGTTGTTGTAGTTCGGGGCCCTGGGGCACAGTCTGAGACTCAATTTTCTCTTCTTCCGTTTCTGAGGCCCTGGTTCCCTCCCCCTCTTCCTGTTTCTGGCCCCTCCTCCTCCGCCGCCTCCTCGGGATACGACGGCGAAGAGGCGAAGGGAACAGTGGGGGGGAGGAGGAAGACGAGGAGACCCAGCAACGACAGAGCGGAACGCTCGCACTTGTCAGGACTTCGCGCACACGAGGGCAAGCGCAGCAGGTGCAGCTGTGGCCAGGTGTTGAGCAGCCCCCAGAACCGAGCACAGGCTCGAACAACCAGGGAAGAAACAAACGAGCGGACGAACCCATACGATTACGAACATGTTGAACGGCAACCCAAACCTGGGCGTGACGCTGCATCAGCAATCTCAGCCTGTCTTCAAACATGTGTCAAAACGACGTTCCCGACGGAGCGGCCCGCAACCGCAACCGAGAGTAGATGTGAAACGAAGCATCCGGCCAGAGTGCAGAAGGCAACATTACGCTTCTTGGGGACCCGACAATCGACATGGCAGAGGGCGGGGAAAACAGAGGCGAGGCCAAGAGAGAAGAGTGGGCGGGCCAGGAGGGTGATGATGATGATGATGGTGATGATGACGAGGATGAGGGAGGAGGGTGGACACAGCTGACTCACGACGAGGCTACACCACATAATGGCTGGAGAAGAAGCATTGCGACAAAAGCACGGCCAGAGCCCCAAACCCAAGACCCAATCAATTTGCGGCAGTCACCGAGCCTGATCGATCGGGGGCGACGATCGGGGCAATTTGCACAGGGTGGAACAACGCATGTATCCAGACGCGCCGATGGTCCGTGTCTTCGGTGAGGCTCTCCGGAGAATGCGTGCAACGCCTGCCCGTGGACTGTTGGTCCCTGCCGTAGCCTGCAAGCCGATCCGCGAAGGCCCGCGGTCCCGACCCATGGCGAAACCGCCCGGCGCGAGAGCAGGAGCACGAAGGGCTGCTCCGCGGAGGCCCTCGGGGAGGCCAGGCCCCCCCGCCGAGCGAGGAGGAGGAGAAGGAAGAGGGAGAGGAGGAGGAGGACGACGAGGAGGACGCGGAAGAGGAGGAGGAGGAGGAGGAGGAGTGCACGTACTCAAAGAGAGACGAAACGAGGGCAAGCGGGCAAGACGCGAGAAGAGGGCAAAGTTCGTCTCGCTCCCTGCCTGTTGCCGCTACGCCTACCTCAGGATGCACCTTGTACGCTCGACGCTCTGGCCGCCAGCACGGGGCCATACACGGTGAGCGGAGGGATGTAAGTCATGAGCTGCATTCGGGAACGAGGGAAACGCAGGGATGGTGGGAAGGGCGGGGGACGAAGGGCAGATTGGAGGAAGCGACGAGGAGCGGGATGGACCGCGCCAAGTGTGGGGCACTGGGCTACAATGACGGGCGGCGGGTGCCTCAGCGTCATGCGCATCACCCGCCACTCCGAGCGGCAGAAAAGGCACGATCATCATGTGGAAGCTCCGAATCGGGGCATACCAATTCGTCTGCCAGGCCATTGGGAGACGAGCAGCAGCATCGAAGTTGGAAGAGGTCCGAGCGGCGAAGGTACAGCGCGCCATGAAACGTCCAATCGTTCCCGTCGCCCGCCGCAGCATGCGGAAATGAACCAGCATCAGGAAGAGCTTGTTCGGGAAGGCCGGTGCTGGTCGAACAGCGAAGGTACGGAGCACCAGGTAGAGCCCATTCATGCCAATCGCCTTCGGGATAGTCGCCGCAAGCATCAACACGCAGAACGTGGGCTGGGCGAGCAGCGGCAGCGGCTCCATGATCAGCTTCAGGAGGGTCTTGTTCGGGAAGGGCGGCGTCAACCACTTCTTCAACCAAGGTATCGTCGCGCAGAGATTCGCAACCCACGTCCGAGTCGGAATGGGTATCAAGATATTGCCAAAACTGGAGGTTGAACATGTCGTTTAGCAGGCGGCGCCGCGTTGCCACGACCTGAACCCATGCGGCCTCGTGCTGCATGAGCTTCTCAGCCTCCAATTACATGGTGTGGTTGGTGATCTGCTCCGAGTCGGCCAGCAGGACGGCCAAGCGGCGTTCTGCTTCTGTAACATCAGCGGCGGCGCCGTGCGGGCCAGGAAGGACATGGACACGAGGATGTGCGCCCACGTCGGCAGCATCTTCAGGTACGTGAAGGAGCGGTGGCGTGGACAACTTCGGCTGGAGCCTTGTCCTGATGAGGGTCGGCACGAGCAGCAGCGTCAGGGGGAACCCCAACAACAGGCTCACGCTCTTCAGGAAGCGACCGGCCAGCCAGAGGGGCACGATCACCAGTAGGATGACGGTCGCCGCCATCAGGTCCACACTCGATAGCACGCACTTCGGCAACGCGAACAGGTTGGACATGCAATTCATGTGAACCACCCACAGCAGCACGTTCTTCAAATTGGCGGGATGATTGACCAGGCGGCGGAAGAGGACCAGCACCCTGCCTTACAGTAAGAGCACGATCTCCATATGGGCGGACAGCGTGACCGAGCGGCGGAAGAGGACCAGCACCATGCCGCATAGGACTAGGAACGCTTCCTCGAGCCTCCCCTGGGACCCGTAGCCGTTGGATGAAGTTGGCGACGCGGTGCAGGTCGCCGTTCATGCAGACGCCCAAGGAGGCGATCGGCGGCCGAGCTAGTAGTGGATGAGCGGCGGGTCGTAGTGGAACGTGTGGCTGGTGCGGAGGACATCCCCGGAGTGTGCTGGGCGGCGGCAGCAAATCAACAAAGTGCAACGTGCGCGCGGCTGGTGCATCAGCAACCGCAGGATCCGCTTGCAGGGGTAGGCTGTGCTTGGCCTTGCCGTAGTTCGTGTTCTCGCGGAGGTACTCTTTGAATTCTGAGTCGCTGAGCTGCTCCGTGGCGGCGAAGCTGGCCTGACGCAGCGAGTGCGAGCGCTGGCCTGAATGTTGTTGAAGCTCATGATGAAGGCTGAGCCCGCGAAGAACGCGACGTGCATTTGGCGCCCCCTGCTGAGGGACGGCGACACGGCGAGCTCCGAGAGGAACAGGTTGTAGAAATCCACGCTCGATGGCGCGGGCGCGTTGCTCGGCAAGGTTAGTCACACTGCGGCGGTGCACCATGCAGAAAGTCACACGCAGATGCAGCGGCAGACATCGCAACCAGGAGACATGCTTGGGGCGTGCAGCAGCGCGTGTGGGGCTGCGTCCTAACATGAAGTTGGCCAGAGCCAGAATGGCTACGGAGGGAGGAGGAGGAGGAGGAGGAAGAGGAGGAGG